TGCGGCCGCGCAGCACCTGCGGCGGCGGGGCGGGTCCCTGCGCTCCGGCCGTCCCCCGCCCCGCCGGCCTTTGTGCTTGGCCTGGGCCTGGGCGGGGGAGTCTCGACTCCTGCCTTGCCTCGGGAGGGGCCGGAGCGGCGCGGGGATCCCGGGCGAGCGGAATCAGGGGCGAGCTGAGCGGTCCTGCGAGCGCCCCTCCCCACCCGGCCCCAGCCGCGGTGACAGCGGGGGTCCGGGGAGCCCGCGGGAGGAGCCCCGCGCATTGGCCGCCGCGCGCCGGGGACGTGGGCGTGCCGCCGAGTCCGCCTTCCCCGGGGACCGGCCGCCGGGGAGGAGCCGGCGCTGAAAGCCGTCCGGGAGGCTCGGGGCGCTGGCGCTCTGGGCCTCTGGGCTGTTTGTTGCTCAGGTGGCTCCCCGGAGCTCGCGAGCCTCCCGGCCAACACGAGTGACAGCATCCTTGTGGATCGATCGGAAAGCGCCCCACCTGCCGACCTCCAACCATCCGGCTCTTTCTTCCTCTTTCCCCCACCTTCCGGCGCTCCCCGCCCTAGCAGACTCCCGGCCGCTCCTGGTGACCCGGTGACCCGCGGGACCGTCCGGATTTGCATTTGAACGGAGGACACCGGAAAGCTCCTTTTCCCAGCCCCCAGGTTTGCATTTCTAAAGGTGGAATTCCAAAGCCTGCCTCTCCTTCCGTCTCCTGGGGCTGGGAGCTGGCAGCTGGCTGCCCGGAAGGTGCCTCCCGCCTTAGGACCAGAAATTGTGGGAAGTTGTTTGAGTTGGTACCTGTGTTAGATTTTCTCCCAGGCTCCTTCCTTGGTCTCCCTGTAGGTCAAGACTCCAGACCTTAAGTGTCTCACCATGTAGTCTTGGACCCCCATCTGCAGGTTCTATTTTGTGCATCCCCTTTGGCGTTCAGTGTGTTGGTGGGGGAGAGGACAGTGGTGCAGATCGAGGAGTCCTTTTTGTGTTTAAACCACAGGAAAGAGATAGTGGCCACTGCAGTAATGTTTAATATGGAATAGAGCCTTTAAAGTACAAACCATAGAAAGTGTTTTCTCTCAAAAGGAGGTTGTATTCATTCTCTCCCTACCCCATTCTCTCCTCTGTCTTTCCAGGAAAAAGAAATAACTTCCTGGGACATGCACCTCCCAGCCAACTTTGCCTTAAAATAAGATCCACTTTAGAAACTGTCCTTAAGTAGATCATTTAAAATCTGCACAGGGCTGCTGAGATGATTTACAGCAGCGTTCCATTCTGGGAAGACCCTTTCAGTGTTACTCGTGCCAAGACTTTCTTTCAGTCTTACTCTTGTTGGAAGAGTGCAGGGAGCTGCTCTGGGTGGCGGGTCACCCACGGGCGGCCCGAGGGCGCGGCTTGGGAGTGTGTGTTTGTCTAGGGTCATTCCTCTTCTCGTTGCCTGGCTGGGGCTCTTTCAGAAGATGGGTATGAAAACGTGCCTGTTACGATTTTGACTGAGCTGCTCTGGGAGGAGGGAGGGAGCTGAAGTCCCTGTCTGATGGTAGAATGACACTGGATGGTGTGACTTCTCTCCTGGATCGGTGAGTCCCAGAAGCCCCTATAAAGAGCGACTAGGGAAAAAAGTATGCTTTTTATGTAATTGGGCTGTACACCCAACACAGGGTGGCAAGCAGGTGCCCCGCCTCGTTCCCCTGTGCTCTCCGGAGGACACGGGACAAGCCGGAGGAAGAGAGGGAGGATGGGGCTGAGAGAATGTTGACCTGAATTTGCCCAGTGTCCGGCCCACCGGGCAAGCTGCCTGTTCTCGTCGGGAGGGAGTGCCGTGCCTCACGGCGGACCTCACAGGGCTTGGCGGGCTCTCCATGCGATTCAGTCGGTGCTTCTCGGGGTCACTGCCCGGGTTCTGGAGGAAGGAGCCTCATTAAATTGAGCTCTTAACATCCCACGTGTAAAATCACTACCTTTACGCAGCTTAACTGCACTTCTCTGAGAATTATAGCACTTGCTTTCACCCATTTCACAGGGGAAGCCCCTGCAATTGTTTTAAAAAAGAAATTGGGATTGTCTTCCCTGCTGATTTCCAGGGCCTTCTGGATTTTTTTGTTAAATTACAGGTTTTACCAGAATTGAGGTTGGTTGATTGATTGATTCAGATGGCAATAGAATATTCCTAGACAAGCCACACCTAGTGGACAGAGGAAGAAAGTGGACTCCGACCACCCATTTTCAGACACCGAAAAACTTAAATCAAATCCTTTACTCTGAAGTCACCATCACAGAATTGTTTCTCCAAGTATATGGAGACCCAAACAGGACCCCACTCATTTTGAGCGGAGTTTTAGTAAAATATTCTTTAAATCTAGGTTTTGAGCAGAAACATCTTTGAAACATTTGCAGGGATTGGTTTAACACATCTCTGGAGCCCTTGCTCTGTGCTGAGTTTGAACCTAAGTCACGGGAATGGGGCAGCCACCTGCAGCCTGGGCTCCCTCTCTAGCTGCTATTTACAGAGCTGCTTCTACCCACCAGGCCCTGGTGCTAAGGGCTTTCCATGGATGATCTCCTTTCCTCTTCCTAAGAACCCTAAAATGTAGGTGCCTGAGGTCAGCTGCGGCAGTTGCCGGGGTGGGGGGGGGCAGCAGGCTGGCTGGCTGGCCGAAGCAAAGGTCTAGTTCTGGCTGGGGCGCACACGCCTCCCTGAGAGAGATGGAGGGGTCAGGGTCAGGGGTCCTGGGATGAAACGCCCCAAGGATTTTGACTTTTTTGCTAAAAGCATGCAGGGAGATCCTTGAAGAAGGCGCAGTGTGTGGAGGGGGGAGGGCTGGAATGAAGGGGGGGTGCCCAGGCTCTTAGGAATTTAGCTAGAGCCTTCCAACAGAGCTATTTGCTTTGCTTGTCCACAACCCCAAAGAAGTTCTTTGAAGACATTAAATAAATTTCAGCAGCTTTAAATTGAGATGAATGTTTACTCAAAAGTAGCTTTTTTTAAAAAAACATCATATAACCGGTGAATTTTCAGTAAGTGTTAAGACAGCACGAGCCATGCTCCTGCATGCACCGGGTCCCATGTTATCTAATACATTGGTCCAAAAGATTCCATGTTGCCAAGCACAGAGGATAGACTTGAGGTTGGCTTTGGGACAGGAGACCAGGCCTCCCTGCCCATTCCTTCCTGTCTTGCCCTGCCTTCGGCCCTGACTTCGGAATGGGGTCATTTTCCATGACCTCTGAGTGACCACAGGAGATGAGGTATCAAGAGGCAGAAACACAGTCAGGTACCTTCCCACAGCGGGAGGTGCATTTCAATTCAGTTGCAAGGCCACAGTGAAATGATTGGTTTGCTGACCTGCCATCTTGCCCAGGCCTGTGTGCCTCTCTTAGTGTGGTTCAGCGTGGCCTGGTCCACAGCGGGTGGAGTCGAGAGTGTCCCGTTCCCTGGCATGCTCTGGTAATTGAGCACATGGTGTAACCACTGGGCACATTACTGGTTTCACATGAATATTAGTATTAGTTCCGGAGAGTATTGTGGTTAAGAGTGAATGGGATGATCTGTAGATGTCTCCCAGATGGAGAGGGACTGGGACTCTGGGTCTCTATTCATCACCAGAACACCATGTGAAATTCATGTCTGTGATTGCTGAGCAAGCCATCCCCGAGGGTACACACTCTGCCTCCACCCAGTAGCTCTCATGGGGGGCAGTTCCCTGTTGAGCTGGAACCCTGCTTTGATCTGGGTTGGCTGACATGTATACCGCATGTTACTTCTGCCAGGGACTCCCGCAGTGTTCCTGTTGGGACACCCGACTTTTCCATTCCTCATTCTCCTTGTAGAGAGCCGAGCCTCTGCCCGAAGGAAGAGGGCACGCAAGACCCAGCAGGACACCTCGACGCACCTTCCAGTCTGCGGAGCTGCAGGGGCCAGAGAGAAATACTTGGAGCCAGGGTTGATCACCTATGCATGAAACATCTCCTCTTGTGACCAGAGCTCCATGGTCTGTGCAGTGTAAATGGCTCCACTCCCCCCCGGCATTCGCTTCATCATCTCATTCTCCCGGGATCAGTGGTGAGTGTTGGCTCGTCCGTCCTGTGGCCTGGTGCTGCGTGGACGTGTGGGCCCTCGCGCGCCCGATGTCATTATATAACATGCACGCGGATGCCTGGCCTCCCTGTGTGACTGTTGAATGGCTTATCAGTGGTGGCAGCTGTGACCGGGAACGTTGCTAAGTTGTCCTCTTTGGTCTTCAGTAGTTTCTATAATAATCACAGTGTCCCCAGAAAAACGACCACTGGCTACTGGCAGGATTATAAAATGGCTGTGGGGGAGATAAGTATATGAACCCTGAGCCCAGTGAGTGGCTTAGCTGGGGCAGAACTTGCTGAGAGAAAATGAAATCTAAACAAGTTAGATGCAGACCAGAACACTGCTTCCTGTTCTGAGAGCAGCCTCACCTCGCATGCTCTGACAGCCCTTCTCATCGTGGGTTCAGAACTCCCACCCTCCTTAGAGGAAGAAGAGGGCGAGGGCAGGGTCTAGGACCAGCTTCTCCATCCTCGAACCCACCCTCCTAAAAGTTCCTATTCCCTGTTGATCTCTATTGGGAAGGAATAAGTTTTCCTCTATCCTCTTAGGCTCTTTCCTTAGGGGCATGCAAATTAAACTACAAAAAAACAGATGTGATCACGTATGTAGGGGAGGTTGCCGAAAAATGTGACTCAGAGGGCTTATATGCCATCTTAATAAGGGAAAAGGAGGAGGAGAAGGGCATGTATGGAAAAACAAATGACTTTGGAAAGGTTAAATGGGCCCTTCTGGGAATAGATGGGAGATAAGATAGTGCTGTGGCAGCCTCCGTTTAGGTGTGCTGGGGATAACTTCTCATTTCCAGTAAGAAGAGTCCTCTCTCCTGGTTACCCCTAGGGAGGGCTTTATGACACTTGAGTTCTTCTAGGTGGCTGTGCTTTTAGGTAGATGAGAAATTTCAGGAACTCAAATGCCTCCCACTCAAAATCGTTTCTACGTCATAGTGGCATATTCTGGATCCCTTCGTCTCTGCCATGACAACCCACTTGTAGCTGTCACACCCTTATTTGCTTCTCAGGCCCCTGCTGGTTGGTGGGCACCCACAGGGCCTCAGGTGTGACCTCAGACCTCTGCCTCCCTTCCAGAGCAGTTCCCTTGTCATTTCAGGTCTACCAGTAACCTGGCCACAAGCTTTAGACATTTATCTTTCCATCTAGTGGGTGCTGACCTTCAGTTTCCTTGTCTGTTTTGTAACTTTATTTTGATACAATTTTCAAAATCACAGAAGAAAATTGTAAGAATATCACAAAGAACTCCCTGGAATTCCTGTATGTCACAAATCCTTTCTTTCTTTCTTTCTTTCTTTGGTTGAGGCACTGGTGGGGCAGGGCGTCTCACACTTTAGTAAACATGTGTCTCACACTTTAGTAAACATGTGCATCCCCCGCCCAGAACTTGTTAAAATGCAAATGCTTACTCAGGAGGTCTGGGGTGGGGCCTGAGAGTCTGCATTTCCCAGGGCATGCGGTGCCCTGAATCCACAGACCACACTCTGGGTAGCAAGGATATATAGAGTATGTGTTCCATCTCTGCCTCAGACTTGCTCTTTGACCTTTACTTTCTAGATCCCAGCTTCCTTCCCTGTTGGCTTTAACATTCCTTTGAAGGGCTTTATATCTTTTTCCCAGCAGGCCTTGCCCTTCCTAACAACATCTTGATTTCCTTTGGGGACCTGACTTCCCTCCTTTTTGTGCAGTTGTGGGACTGATGCAGGCTGGCTGGGTGGAGGTGACCCAGAGGAGGGCCCCACGGGACCAGCCAAGAAGGCCCTCGGCTTCATGCAGGGTAGAAATCAGACATGAATTGAGAGGAAGTAAGAACAGAGTCTGTTAAAGATACCGAGAGAGTGTGGATCCAGACAGAGCGTTTGGGAGACTCAGAAAGGAAAGAAGAGTAAGTCTCATATTTGCTTGGGGCCTGGGGTTTTTATTGATGATGGTCTGGCGCCCACATCTCCTCAGTGATCCAGGAACAAAGACAAGTGTTCAGCTGTCCTCCAAAAGTCACTTATGCCCTGGAGCCAGGGGTCTTGGTGAGTCTGTGGTCTTGAAAAAGTTCATGACGACTCCGCCCAGTCACTCCTTAGATGTTATCTGTTGTGCTGGAAGACTCCAAAGAAATCATTAACTCCTTGACGTTTACAAGGAGGACATAGTTACAAGGAGGACATAGACGTGTAAGGCGGGGATGTAGGTCCTCGCAAAAATAGACGCAGCAAAAAGAGTGAGAAAAACAGTTTTTTTATGGGGTTCCTTTAGTTTCCCTATCTCAGTAGGCGGGTAAGTCTCAGGACTTTGGGGTTCATTATGGCGGCCATCAGTGGCTCCGGAGGCCCTGTTACCATGACCTTTCTCCTTAGCCCACATCCCCCAGGAAGCAGACTAGGACCCTGGGTGGGCTACGGGTCTCTCTCCTGGGATGTTGAGTCTTGAGTAGAGTAAACCTAGGGTAGAGGGACTATTGAATGCAGCTAGTCCAGCTGGGGGCCAGGGCTCAGCTAGCAGACACACCTTCACATTCTGCCTCATTTGTTTCTCCCTCCACAGCATGCACACACACACACACACACACACACTTTTTTTCTGAATCATTTGAGAGTCAGTTATGGGCATTAGGCCCTTTTATTTTTAAATAGGTTAGTGTATTTCCTATGAATAAGACATTCTCCTGTAACTGTGCCTGAAGGTCAGAATCAAGAAATATAACATGATGTAATACCATGATCTAATCCACAGTCCATATCCAGAAGTTATATCAGATGTCGCCTAATGTCTTGTCCAGTGTCCCCTGATCCAGGACCCCATCCAGAATCACATGTTGCCTTCAGCTGTCCTGTGAGTTTAGTCTCCTTTAATCCAAAACTGCCTCTTGGCCTTCCTTTGTCCTTCATGACCTTGACATTTTTTAAGAGTACCAGCCATTTATTTTGTAGACTGCCCCTTGTTTTGGGTGTCTAATATTTCCTCTTGATTAGATTCAGTTAACGCTCTTTTGTCAGGAACACCACAGAAGGGAGGTAACTTCTCACTGCTGGGTGAAGGAGCTACGAATGTGGGTGCAGGAGGGACTTGAGTGGGTCAGGTGTGTTAGCTTGGAAGTGCTGGAGAAATAGATACATATGGTTCTGCTCGTGAGTTTGATGTGTGTGTGTGGTGTGTGTGTGTGTGTGTGTGTGTGCTGTGTGTTGCGTTTGATGTGTGTGTTATATGCTGTCTGTGTGTGGGTTGTGTATGTTGCATGTGGGTCACGTGCCCTACCCCCTGCCGCTCAGAGGCCGTGGGAACAGCAACACTCAGTGGCGGTGAGCACCACGCTGCCGGATCTTGGTCTCTATGTGCCGTCTCCCATGGAGGGAGCCGGGCTTCCTTGGAGACTGGGCCGATGTCAGGGCTGGGGCAGCAGGCAAAGTAAGATGAGCCGGGAATATTTGGTACCAGAAAATGAGGAGGTGCTTGAAAATGAAGGGGCTCTCACTGGCTAAGTCTGGAGTGACTTGAGATTTAAAGCAAATGATACTAGTGATGGATTAGCCCATTGAATAAAATACCTCGTGAGCGCGCACTGCTGTAAATAAGTGTGTGCACAAGGGGGAGAAAGGAAGCCCCCCCCCCCATGGATCCCTGCTGCTGAGTAGAGCCACAGGGCCTGCCTGGCCCGCCTCCGTCCCGTGACCATCAGGAGCACACACACTGTGGGGGAGACTGGAGGACAGGATAGCCGTGTCGGCTCCACGTATGTCCCCACAGACTGCCTATTAATTACATAGGGGAAAAAGTGTCGCTTCCCTGAGGGGCGGACAGGGGCAGAGAGCCCCTTAACCAGGTGGTCAGTGCCAACGTCACCGACATCCTGTCTCTGCTTTAGGATGCTCCGGAAAGGACTCACATCACAGCTGTTGTGTGGTTTCCTTGTTCCCAAATTAAGGATGTCTTTGGACTAATTTCTATGCCAGATCCTAGTGCCCAGTTACTCTCACCTAAAGCATTTGTTTCTCCTCATTTGCATACAACTCCAATAAATAACACCCCAGCGAGGAAACAGATACTGTGCCCTGCATCGCTCAGGTTGAAGCAGGTTGCTGTTCATCTGGGGGCACGTGCGATGTTGAAGAACATGTCTAAGGAGACCCTGCGGGTGCACACCTATCCTGGGCTGGCATTGCCCAGATGCGCTTTTGTCTTGCTAGAAGCTTCGCGCTAACCCCAGCACTGGTCTTGTCGTGCTTGTAGATGCGACCAAGGCTACCGCCAGACATAACCACAGAGTAAGCGGCACGCCGAGGAGTGAAAGGGTTCAGTAGCTCACCTGTAATTGTACATGTTTAATGTTTCCAAGCCTAAATGTGACACCGAACAAAAATACAAGTGTCGGCTTGCATTCGTGTCCTGAGGCTGCTGTAACAGCTGCCCACACGATAGAAGCTGGAAGTTAGAGACCCAGGCATCGGCGGGGCTGCGTGTCTCTGAAGGCTCCAGAGAAGGATCCCTCCTGCCTCTTCCAGCTTCTGGGGGTGGCTGGCGGTCCTTGGCCTTCCTTATCTTGGCTCTGCCTCTGCAGTCACATGGCCGTCTTCCCTGTCTGTCCCTGCATCTTCATACGGCCTTTATAGGGACGTCAGTCATTGGATTTAGGATCTCATGTGATCTGAGGTCATACATGGGTTCAGTATGGCCTCATCTTAACTAATTACATCCACAGGACTCAATTTCCAAATAAGGTCACGTTCTGAGGTTTTTGGATGGACTTGAATTTGGGGGGCACAGGGTTCAACCCAGCGCAAAATGGATAATAGAAAACAAATATCATCCACAGTCCTGCTTCGTAAAGGATATAGGAAGACAGAAAATGAGGATAGAATTAATTACAAAGTGGGAAAAAGAGTCAGGAAGGTTGTGTAGGACTTTGGTCCCATAACCCCAGGTAATCCCACAGAAGTAAAATGTCTGCTCAGTCTCCAGGACAGGTATATATTGACACGGCTGCTGTGGTCAGACCTTCTGGGAGGGAACAGTCAGCCTGGGCTGCTGGCTCTTCTCACCGCATCCCCCCCTCCCAAGATCCCATGTAAGCAAGATGAGGAAAGGAAGGGAGGAAGGACAGATTTGGAAATAGGGGAACTAGAGTCGGCCCTGATACCGGCTAAATAGATAGGGTTTTCCTGTTTAGGAGCCGTAGGTTCTGTCTCCAGGAAAATTCCAGTTTGCTGTGTAGGTTCACCCATTGCCCTGACTGCAGGACAGCTTCTCCCAGAGAGCCCTGCCAACCTGTAGGCAGTTACCCGCCCCAAAGAGGCTGATTCATCAAGGAAAGTTCAGTTCAGTCTGGAACCCATGTACTGCCCCCTCTGTGGCCCCTTTACTCATGGGGCGTCCCCCAGCGAGGGACAGTCAGGGGAACCTCCTTCATCCCACCGGGCCCTGCGCTGGTGAGAGCTACATGTAGAGCTGCCCGTTAGGGAAGGAGGCAGCAGCCCGGGGAATGAACGTGGAGGCCCAGGGAAGGAGGACGGCAGCCCAGAGGTGGAGGCTGGAGGCCCAGGTGGGCCACTAAGTCCCGATAACCTAGACAGACTTTACCATCTAGGAATGCACATGTATCAGGGCCCCTGGGGCTCTTCAGACATGATCTGGACACACAGAGGAGCTCTTTATTTCTGGGCTTATTTGTTCTATTTAATAAATATATTAATGCATTCAATAAAGGTGAACTATTTGTACATAGAATATTCTATTTATGTCTGGTTTGAGACTAGAGAGCATGAACCAAGGCCCATTGAAGTTGAGCCACTCTCTCAAAATCCTTAGCTGGGTGACGATGAAATTCACATTCTCCTGTTGATAATACACCTGTGAAGAGGTGTCCTGTAGCATCCTCGAGGGCTCCAGACTCTTCCCTGAGACTCTGATCTGGGAGGTGCTGGGGCTGACTCAGTCCCAGAACGTTGTTCATGCTCCTTGTGGAGATTGCAGAAGGGAACCCTGTGCCCAGGTGGGGTCAGCTCAGGGTCCCCGCAGAGCTGGAGCCCTGCCTTGTGCCCTTCTGCCACCCATACCTCTGCCGTGGGTGACTGTCCCCTCAGGCGGGCACTCTGTCTGAAAGTCACTGGCCTTCTTAGGCCAGAAACAGGCAGGTTCTTTGGGGCTAAGGGCTGTGCCTCCTGAAACGAGGGGCCGGCCTTGCCTTCCTGGGAGGGGGGGGGGCCCTGCTCTCCTCTCTTGCTACTCTTCCTGATGACCTCTTTTCTTCCCCAAGAAGTACTTTTCTAGAGAGTGGTTCAAACTTTGAGGCTGGAATGAACCTTTCTCTTGCCCAAGTATCTTCTTTTCTCTAGTCTCTGATTCATTTCAGTCTTACTCTTGGGCTGCTTTTCGCATAAACCAAGAAGAGCAGCAGGGCCTTAGGCCAGGCTTTCTTATGTCATCAGTCTTGTTCATAGCGTGTCTGCGTCACTGACTTTCTCGTGGAGGTCAGTGAGATATTTATATTCCTGCCTTGCATGTATCTTTTGAAAAAGTTGCACAGAAGCTAAAGGTAAAAAATAGATAGGACCTTAAATGCCCAGGATACAGGCTTACAAGAAATTTGCAGTTAATTCTCTTACAAACCAGTTAATGGTTTCTTTCTGTTTACTTTGTGAACTCTGTTCACTTCTGTGTCCCAAATTTCTCTTTGATTGTGGTTATTTTTTTTTTAAGAATATTTAAACAGTTTCAGTTGCACAAAGCAAAAGTGGCAAAATTTTTAAATGTAGTATTATGGTGATGTTGAAAATAGGATAAATAATTGATATAGGACTGAGTGAATAATACATAACCTAAGACAATTTAAAGTACAGTTATAATGTATTATTTGTTTGTTTGTTTGTTTATTTATTTTAATCATAATAAGTGCACTCCTCCTTAATCCCCATCACCTAGTTCACCCATCCGCCTGCCTACTTTCCCTCTGGTAACCATCAGTGTGTTCTCTAGAGTTATGAGTCAGTTTCTTGGTTTGTGTCTCTCTCTCTCCTTTTCTCTTTTTTCCCCTTTGCTCATCTGTTTTGTTTCTTAAATTCCACATATGAGTGAGATCATATAGTATTTGTCTTTCTTTGACTTTTTTCACTTAGCATAGTACTCTCTAGATCCGTCCACGTCATTGCAAATGGCAAGATTTCATTCTTTTTTAGGGCTAAGTAATATTCCATTACACACACACGCACCACTTCTTCTTTATCCATTCATCTCTCTGTGGATACTTGGGCTGCTTCCATTATCTTGGCTACTGTAGATAATGCTGCTATAAATGTAGGGATGCATGTATCCCCTTGAATTTGTGTTTTTGTATTTTTTGTGTAAATACCCAGTAGTGCCAATGCTGGGTGGTAGGGTAGTTTTATTTTTAACTTTTTGAGGAACCTTCATACTGTTTTCCAGAGTGGCTGCACCCAGTTTGCATTCCCACCAACAGTGTAGGAAGGTTCCCCTTTCTCCACATCCTCGCCAACATCTATCATTTCCTGACTTATTCGTTTTAAACATTCTGACAGGTATGAGGTGGTATCTCATTGTAGTTTTGATTTGCATTTCCCTGATGATGAGTGATGTTGAGCATCTTCCCGCGTGTCTGTTGGCCATCTGTATGTCTTCTTTGGAGAAATGTCTGTTCATGTCTTCTGCCTATTTTTAAATTGGATTGTTTATTGTTTGGTGTTGAGTTGTATAAGTTCTTCATGTATTTTGGATACTAACCCTTTATCAGGTATGTCATTTGCAAATATCTTCTCCCGTTCAGTAGGTTGTCTTTTAGTTTTATTGACTGTTTCCTTGGCTGTGCAGAAGCTTTTTATCTTGATGAAGTCCCAATAGTTTATTTTTGCTTTTATTTCCCTTGTCTCAGGAGACATATCTAGAAGGATGTTGCTATGGTCGATGTCAGAGAAAGTACTGCATGTGCTCTGTTCAAGGATTTTTATCTCTTCAGACCAATATTTCTCATGAATATAGATGTGAAAGTCCTCAACAAAATATTAGCAAACCAAGTCCAACAATATATCAGAAAAATCATGTATCACAATCAGGTGGGATTTATTCCTGGGATGTAAGGGTGGCTCAATATTCAAAACAATCAACATGATACGTAATATCAATAAGAGAAAATATACAAACCTTATGATCATTTCAGTAGATGCAGAAAAAGCATTTGACAAAGTACAACACCCATTCATAATAAAAACCCTCAACAAAGTAGGTCTAGAGGGAACATACCTCAACATAATAAAGGCCTTATATGAAAAACCCACAGCAAACATCATACTCAATGAGGAAAAACTGAGAGCTTTTCCCCTAAGGTCAGGAACAAGACAAGGATGTCCATTCTTACCACTGTTACTCTACATAGTACTGGAATTCTTAGCCTCAGCAATCGGATAACAAAAAGAAATAAGAGGCATCCAAATTGGTAAGGAAGAAGTAAAGCTCTCTCTATTTGCAGATGACATGATACTCTGTATAGAAAACCTGAAAAGACTCTACCAAAAAAACTGCTAGAACTGATACATGAATTCAGTAAAGTCGCAGGGTACAAAATTAACAGTCAGAAATCTGTTGCATTTCTATACAATAATAATGAAGCAGCAGGAAGTGAAATTAAGGAAACAATCCCATTTACAATTGTACCAAAACCAGTAAAATATCTAGGAATAAACTTAACCAAAGAGGTGAAAGACCTATACTCTGAAAACTATAAAACCCTGGTAAAAGAAATTGAAGATGACACAAAGAAATGGAAAGACATTCCATGCTCATGGATTGGAAGAACAAATATTGTTAAAATGGCCACACTACCCAAAGCAATCTATAGATTCAATGCAGTCCCTATCAAAATACCAACAACGTTTTTCACAGAACTAGAACAAACCTAAAATGTGTGTGGAACCACAAAACCCCCCAAATAGCCAGAGCAGTCTTGAAAAAGAAAAACAAAACTGGAGGTATCACAATCCAAGATTTCAAGACACACTACAAAAGCTGCAGGAATCAGAACAGTATGGTGCAGGCACAAAATAGACACATAGATCAATGGAACAGAATAGAGAACCCAGAAATGGACCCACAGCTCTATGGTCATCTAATCTTCAACAAAGGAGGCAAGAATATGCAACAGGAAAAAGACAGTCTCTTCGACAGATGGTGTTGGGAAAACCGGACAGCCACATGCAAAAGAATGAAACTGGACCGCTTTCTTACACCATACACAAAAATAAACTCAAAATGGATGAAAGACCTAAATGTGAGACCTGACACCATAAAAATCCTGGAAGAGGGCACAAGCAGTAAATTCTCTGGACATCGGCCCTGGCAACATTTTCTGGATATGTCTCCAGAGGCAAGGGAAATGTAACGTATTCTTACTGCATCTTACATTATTTTATGTCATCCCCTACCTCTGTTTTGTGTTTCAGGTACAGAGCCTTCATTTTTATTTTGACATTTTTGCTGTATGCAAGTTTCCACTTATCCCGAAAGCCTATCAGCATAGTTAAGGTAAGAAATCATAAAAAGCACCCCATTTCATATCCTGCCTGTAATTTCTATGAGGAACTGGTAGTTGCTTTAGGAGCCATTTTGGGAGTGGGGGAAGGGGTGGGGGGAGGGCAGTGAGATAAATGGAGAAACAAGATGGTTTAGAAGCAAGTTATTGTGCTTTGATTGTTAGTTTCTCTTTTCTGAAACGAAAATCTTTGACATGCTTTTAGGTTTATCATTTTAGAGGTGATACACTTTCAGTTATATTAATTGACAGCTGCAGAATCCTAAAGCTTAATTATTTATTCTGTGAATTTTCCCTCTGAATATATCCAATCTTAAATTGTTCCCGGAAGTGCCTCTCTTATCATTGTGCTCTGATTCTGAGTCTGGCTGTGGTGGTGGCTCTCTATTATTCTTAGAACCCCGAGCTTCTGTTTGAGTGATGGGTGAGCAGGAAGTTGCTCAGCAGACATTTAACTACACTTGGAGAGAAGAAGATTAAAGTAGACAATCCTACCTAATAGCCAGTTATAACTGGGGAAGAAGCAGGATAATTTTCTTACCCTCATAGGAATGACATCATTTTGCCTATAAACTCTCAACAGGCTTTTGATTCTCGATTGTAGAAGGAACAAAGAAATTGTCCGGTGCCAAAGAGTGCTTACTTATAGCCCAATTGCCTCCTCCCTCGCCTAGGCGTGGGCAGGGACACGGATCCAGCACTGTAATTCTGACCACTGCAGCCACGCTTCCTCCATTCCCACTGAGTGGTTGAGTGCTGGCCTCGGTCTTCCAGCCAATGGGAGAGGCAATGCCAAGCAAGGCCGTTGCTTCTATGGACAGTTTTGTATTCCCCGTTCTCCAGTAATGCCCAGTGGACGTTAAGTAGCATCCATCTATGCAAAGGATCCTACAATTCCTCCTTGACCTTAAGCCTTCCATGCCCTTCATGGAGGAGACTGTTGGAGAGGTCCCAGTGAGCGCCATGGGGCTAAAGGAGGAGTGGTTGGGAACCTGCTGGGGTTTCAGCTTGGGATCAAGCTTGGATGGGAGAGGTGGACGCCTGGAGTAGCAGATGGAGGATGGGCCCTCACCATGAAGCCCCAGCCTGGGGGGCAGAGGCTCTGCTGGGCCACAGGCAGTGTGGGGAAGGCGGGATCTTTGCGGCAGGACAGGACACTTGGATTGGATGCTGTATCTCGAGGGCCTTGTGTAGCCAGGAACGGACGTAGCAGTGCTGTAGGGCACCCTCCCAGCTTTCCTGTTGGGAGCTTGGGGCTTACTGGGGCAGTGTCACGATGAAGCAGGGTCCCGTCGGCTCTTCTGGAAGCATTCTCTCAGTCACAGGGCTTGCTGAAGCCCATCGTGCGGCACAGTGCACTTGCTCATTTAACGGAGTCCTCACAGCGGCCGGGGACTCAGGCGTGCCGTCCCCTCCTGCAGGGCAGTGCGAGCTCCGGTGAACTGGGCAGGGTCTCTGCTCTCCAGCTCTATGCCACGGGGTCTGCAGGGCATTGAATTACCCGAGTGTATCCGCAGCCCCACAGCCGATCTTCTTCCACACACAGATCTTCAGACTTAGTACCTCAGTTGTGCTTGGACATGGATTGGCCTCACGCGGGGTCTCCTGAGATAGATAAGGATGTCCCACTACACACGCTAACTTAAACTTTGTAACGCCTTCCAAGGCTTTTACATGCTTTTAGCGCATCTTATTTATAAAACTAGAACTAGGGGTGGATCTGGTGACCCAAGGAGTAGTTTGAATTATCTGTAGCCTGTATTTCCTAACATGAGATAAGCAAAACAAAATGAAAATATTTGTGCTTACCTGGAATTGATCAACAGTGGTTGTGAATTATAAAATGGTTCACGTTCTTTAATGACATTTGAAGAGTGGCATGACAAATGTCATTTCAGTGTGGCCAAAAGAAACAAAGGTGGTAGCGATGGACACGGGCCGGGAGCCGGGGGGTGGGGGCGCAGGTGCACCTCCTCCTTTCCATGTGCCCCCACGGGATCAGCGACCCCCGACTGGTCTGAGTGTGAGTGCCCAGCCCTCTCTGCACACACGCAGCCTGGAAGGAGGGAGCTGTGAAGCGCTCAGTGGCAGATGGAAGACAGCTGGGAAAGCTGGTGGGGCACATCCTGACTTTGGGTGGGAAGCTTGCTCTCCGAGAAGGCCAGTGTCCCGGGATGAACGCTGCAACAGAAGGCAGCTCCCATGGAATGTCTCAGCAGTGAACAAACTCATCCAAGAGTTTATGTAGAAAAATGTCCAAGGGAAGTCTGGAAAAGAGCATTTTTAAGCCACTGTAATCAAATTTTTATGGTATGGCATGAGAACAGACCAAGAGGTCAGTGGAAGAGAATGGATGGTGGGAAAAGTGTAGCTTATTTAGCAAATGGCATGAGCACGGCTGGCTATTCGTCTAGAAGAATAAAGTTGAATCCCTATTTTATAAAAATAGATGGATGGATTAAAGATTTAAGTGTGGTGAATAAGTAAAAATCCAAGAACAAAATTATGTCCATCTGAGGGGTGGGTGTGAGGTTGGCAAACCTGAAGGAGGACGGCCAGAGAGGGTGGAGAGGTAGTTCACAGACAGGGAGCCGGAATCTTGCCAAACTGGATGAGGTGAAGGCTGGTGAAAGTAGCACTAGATCGCCTTACACCCACGTCCAAACCACCTGACAGCGCACCAGCCCGGGTCACGGCCAGAGGGCGGCAAGGGCAGCAAGGAGGGGAAGACAGCCGGGTGCCGCTGATGGGAGTGCAGGGCTGCAGGCTCCCGGGGAGCGTTCGGCGAACACCTATATGCACCCTTCAGCCCTGCGACCCTGGCCCGTGAAAATGAAAGCGTCCACACTTAGGAGAATCTCCATAAGTGGCCTTCATTGTAACATTTGCAATTCAAAAAAAAAAGGAAAAAGGAAAAAAAAAAAAACCCAGCATATTATGTGACCCTAATCAGCAGGTGGAAGTTTGAGTAAATTATGGTCAGTCCACATTCTGACATGTGCAACCACTTAGAATTAAGAGGGGCTCCTGGCTGGCTCAGTCAGAAGAGGGTGCAGCTCTCGATCCTTGGGGTCGTGAGTTCGAGCCCCACGTTGGGTGTAGAGATTCCTAAAAAAAAAAAACTTTAAAAAATAAATCCATAAGTAAATAAATAAGGAAACAATTAAAAAAAATGAATTAGAGCCACACCCGTTGACACAGAAAGATTTCAGAAAGGGATATGTTGAGTAAGAGGAGTTAAGGAGTCCATAAGTCTGTACAGAAGGATTCCAGTTTTGAAAAATCAGCCATGAGCAGAAAGCTCCCCTCCCTCTCTGCGTACACCTGTCGGTGGGGTGTGTTTGCCCGCTATCCCGTGGCACCTGTGTTCCCTCAGAGCACCTGACCCCGCGCGGGTCCTGCTGTGGGGGCGGCTCGGCCAGCCTGGTCTCAGGCACTCCGGCTGCTCTCACAGAATCCCGTGGCCCCCGTGGCTTCTCGGCAGCGGAGATTTACTGCTCACAGTTCTGGGGGCTGGAAGGCCCAGGTCCGGGTGCCGGCGGGCTGGGGTTCTGGTCGAGTAGTCGCTCCGGTTCCAAGCTTACACAGCTGTCTCCTGCATGTACCTCTGTGTAGGTGCGTGCCTTGGAAGGGTCCTGCTGCCCGCTGGTCCCGTGAGGTTCCCTTTCGCTGCCCACTGGGGGGGTGGGGGCAGGGCTGGAGAGGGATCT